TAATAGTAGTAGTAGTAATAATAATAATAATAGAATGTTATGATACTAATACTATAATAATCCCCCATTCTAGTTAGCACGTTAAATAAACATATGAAATGATATATAATTTGTATACAATTTAATTCGAACTACTAATTTTTAGAAATGTTGTTAGATGTTCTCATTCATATAACTGATCGACTTATGTTAGATACTTAACGCATCTTCCTAAATGTTTAGATATCAAGCGAAAGTTATACAATCATCAAATTGTAAATACAGAAGAATAATATCCTATTGTTAATAATAATTAACATTTAAATACATTACATCTCCAATGTTTAATCTTTTAGATATCTTCTCTGAGAACTTTCGCTTGATATCTTCTATGAGTATAACGAGTAAGGTTTTTTTTTTTTTTAAGATATTACAATGATAATCTTATAATGATTTATGAAACGCAAAAAATGTTGGATCGTGATGTCTTATGTCGTTGAAATAGATCTTTCAGGAACATACAAACATATATTAAGATGTATCAGAAATACAGATGCATAGAAATAGATTAGAATCCACATATTATACATTTAATTGTATATTCAATGTTTTTGTACATGTACAACAAAAGTCAATCTCAAGAAGTTTTTAATGCCATGATTAATTGAAATTATTAACTAGATTATATCCTTGCGATCTCGTTTTACAAAGTTATACTCATCATTTTTGTTTGTTTCTTCAATTAATTATAAATACTACGAGTGTAACAATATAAATTGAATATTTAAATAAAATTTAAAAAATTAGTTATGATAATAGTAAATAGTAATCTTTCCATGCATGGGGAATGAGTAAAAAGAAGAAAAATCTGTTAAAAACTTGGCATTCTCATACGACGATTAAAGAAATAATATATCGGCTTAATTAATTGTATTTTTTTTTTCTTTTTTTTTTTTGTTTACTATTATACTCCGTCGCATATACATAAACACATCGACGATTTTAATTTTCTATATCCTTCGTGTATTATTATTTATTTACCATCTTTCTCGGCCAGAAGTAAAAATCCTTGTATATATATAATAATAATAATAATGATAATAGTAATAAACAGATATGTTAATATACAATCGAATAAATATATATGTCGATACATCAATATGATAATGAGACATTTTACAAACAAATATTTTATAATAGGATTAACAGAAATGAATTTTTTCATTTTTTTTATATACGGATTGATCTTAATTTTTATTTAGGCAATATTATAAAGCTTCTCTTCTGCATCTTATTATACAGGGTGTCCTATAACCAGTGGTACAATAATTGTAACATCAGTTACAAGATATCCTGTATTTATATATATTACTTGCTACACATACAATATGTATATCTTCAAATATCTCATAGCGCTGTTACATCCAGGCAATCATAATTGTATTTTAAGTTTCCTTTTTTTTTTTTCAATAATTATGTATATATGTGTGTATGTGTATGTGTTTGGTAATATATTCTACTATTATAATGATGTATCGGACAAACTTCTTTCTAATTATTTAAGAAAGAAATAAAAGAAACATTATTATTATTATGTATAATAAATTAAAATTTCATTTCCAATTATTTAAATAGCAATGCTTTTTCGAATAATAATAATAATAATAATAATAAACTGGGAACAATATACGACACATCAACAATTGACTGTTATTGGAATCGTTAACTTAACAAGAGTATAAAATTGGCTTTAAAAAAAAATAATAATAATAATAATAATAATAATAATAAAAAGAAAAAAGATATATGATTCAGCATATTAATGTATAATTTTTATATAATCAAAGGAAGCGCACTTCGTAGTGCAATAGAAAGAAATTCAATAAATACAAATTTATAGTACAACGTAATATAAAGAAGAGGCCGTATATATATATATATATATATAAACGTAATAAAATTAATTAGTGTATAAACTAAATTGTACAACGTTTCCAATACATCCATCAAATTTTTCTTTTATCTCCTTGCTTTTTTTTTTTTTTCCCCCCTTTTTTTTTTTTTCCTTCAACATAGTATACAACGCTTTGTTAAGTTATACTACGTTGTTGTGTATATTTATTAATAACATGAAACAATATTGATAATAATGAACTATAATAGAACGGACGATATGATATTTAAAAAATATTTCTACCATATCGTACATATATTTGTCATTGTAATATTTTCTTTAAAATATTTCTATTCAATTAATACTTCATTAGTTTGCTATATATGGGGTGCTTTTCTTATATTTAAAAAATCAAACTGGTTGTTTCTTTTTAATAATCCGGTTAATGTAATACATTTAACAATTTTAAGAAAATGTGTTTTACAAGATTTAATATAAACAGTAGAACGATTGAAAATAATTATCGCGCGTTCGCGCTTATATTATTTTCATTGTGTTACAATGAGATTTCAATACAACAGTATTTTTTTTTTTTTCCTCCTCCTTCTTCTTCTTCTTCTTCTTCTACAACACTTTTTTTTCTTTTTCATTTTTCTGGATTTTTTTTAATATATGTTTGTTTATATGTTTGTATGTTTATTTGCTTGTTTGTATGTTTGTTTGTTTTTCAGCAATTAATTATGACTACAATCTAATAAAATAATCTTGTTTTACCTAAATTTTATAGAAAAGTAGACTTTGTTGATCTGCTTTGTTTGATACATTGCATAGTATATCTCACATACCATACCCTTGATAAGCGGCTGCTGCAGCAGGTGCGTATACACTTTGTGGAGGTGTAGCGTATACATTTTGAGGTGCATAACCAGGTGCCATCATACCAGGTCCAGCAGTTAACATCAGTTGAGGCTCCGCTAAAAATTCATTGAAAAACATCGATGATTATTAAAATACTATACAGATTTGCGATGATAATCAATAAGAAAAATAAGTTCCAGGCTATGATTAGAATTTAAATGATTAAAATTTCATTCTTTAATATACTTACGCATAATCATAGGTTTATGTTCCTGATGATCAGTTTCTTCAATACGACGGCTTTCTGCCTCTTCCAATTTATCGACCTATGTGAGACATATTATTAAACGATAAACGATTAGATTATTTGGAAAATATAAATGTATATGTATCGTAATAATGATTACAAATTACCTTTACCTTAGTAATATATTCACGTGCTACTTGAATAAGATATGGCATGGCGAAAGATAATATACGATGTCTCCACGCTAATTCTAAGATAACATCTGGATGAAGCAAATCGTAACAGTGGAATAAACATGCTGCAAAACAGTCTTTTGAGCCTCTTTCCAAAAACCATTCTAATAATGCTTCAGCAACTTCAGCATCTCGAGATTCCGCAGCATACTCCATAGCATCCCTGTTAATACAGAATACACAAAATATGATTTATTAATCGTAAATTCGTAAAAGAAAAAAAATACAAATTCGATATTTATCTTCAATTAGTTGCAGTGAATTAAAAAAAAAGCGTTGCAATGTGAAGATTTGAATTAATTTTAGTTTAGCACGCGCCGGCAAATAGTACTTGCCTGAATAATCTATCTTTTTTACAAAGCTCTACTGATTGTTTCCATCGGTTATTTCCTTTGTATAAATACGCAGCAATTCTTCTGAACTCGATTAATTCATGCTTTTCCAATTGTTGCGCCAACGCAATATTATCAAAATTATCAAACGCATCTATCGACGTTCTCAGACCCTGATAATCCTCTTCGTCTATGAGCAAGCCATTTAAAGCCTCGTTAATTGCTTTGTTATTAAGTGCTTGAACAGATCTCAAATAAGGTTTCACTAATTGCAAATGTCCAGTCCTAGTGAAATATGCGACTGCTCTTGTGTGATCCATACGTGGTGCGAGTACAAGCAGTATATCATTTAGCAGCAGTGGTTTATACTCAACATAAAATTGTATAGCTTTATAATACAGTTCAACATTTGCCACTTTAGTAATTACATCTTTGAAGTGTCCTTCACGCCAAGCTTCTGTAGGATGTTGCATCATCGCTAACACTGCATTATCGTATTCCTCATATTTGTCATATAAAAATACAAGCTCTGCCCATAAATGTGCTTGTTCGGCTGCACGTAGAACCTTGATTAATTTAAAAGAAGAAAAAAAAACATTCTTAGATAA